AAATTACAGAGTTTTTTCAAAGTTGGCAAATCAAAAGGATTACATCCACACCTTATCATCCGGTGGGTAATGGGCAAGCTGAGTCAACAAACAAAGTCATTATCAACAATTTAAAGAAGCGTTTGGAGGAATCTAAAGGTAATTGGCCAGAATTGTTACCTGGTATTTTATTGGCATACCGCACAACAATAAAAACAAGTACGGGAGAAACACCATTTCATTGGTTTATGGAGCTGAAGCTTTAATTCCAGTTGAGATAGGAAATCCAAGCACAAGGTTTACACAAGCGTCAGAAGAGTCTAATGGCGAAGAAATGCGCATAAATCTTGATCTACTTGAAGGAAAAAGAGAAGTTGCATTAATAAGAATGGCAGCACAAAAGCAGGTCATAGAACGATACTACAATCGAAAAGCACGCCTAAGATTCTTCAAGATTGGGGACTTCGTGCTCAAAAAGGTTTTTCAATCTACGAAGGCAGCCAATGCGGGAAAATTGAGTCCAACCTGGGAAGGACCCTATAGGATTCATGGTATTGCAGGAAAAGGAGCATACGAGCTGGAAACGATAGATGGAAAGATACTACCTTCGTACTGGAATGTTGTTCATTTGAAGAGATACTATTTCTAAGGAATACCTACGGTCAGATATCTATGTTTTAAAATTCTATTTTTGAATTGTTAAAATTTTACTAACGATTTTAGATGATAGGCAAAAATCTAGCCCGTACTAAATGATGAGTCACGACCTGCAAGGCACGTGGAATAAATTAAACTTCCCGATCTAGGGTTACAATTATTCTGATAGAAATCCAAACTGGTTAAGCAGTCTTCATCTATAATTGCACCTCCGAGTCCCGTATGTTTTTCTTTTTCAGGGAAAGGACCAAATGAGAGGAACAATCAAGTGCTCGAGGCTTCATACCTCAACGCTCAAACACTTGGGAGACTATATAATATACACAGGCACGTGTATAAAGAAGGCAAAGAAGATTGGGAAATAATCAAAGATCAAGCCTGAAAAGTTCACTCATTGAATGAGTCAAATGCAGAGTAAAGTTACGAGCTAAGGCCAAAGAAAAATCTTACCATAGTTAGGGTAAAGGCTATGTACTGAAACGGGTTATAAATAAAAACCTTGTGTCTATTTTGCTTTTCTAAATCTGTTATAAGAAAAACAGTTACAAGAAAGTTATAGATGTAATTCAAATACATGTAAAGTGTTATTCAAAACTAGACAAAGTTCAAATAAAAACTTGTCAAAGTTATTTCAAGAAACATGTGTATTCCTATTTCTTTTATCGTATATTGACACCGTTATGAAGTTGAGACATCTTCTTCATTAAGTGTCGAATATAAAAGGGCCCTCTTTTATAAAATTCATGATTAATTTAAGTATTCATGAAGTTAACAGAAGCAATTTTGAAGAATAAAAATGCAAGTTATTCAGTAAGTCCTGAGAAATAAAGGCAAGAATAAACAAAACAGAAGTTCAAATAGTAACGTAAACTTCTTAATATTAGAAAGTTTAGACAAAGTATGAACTTAGTCATAAACTAAAAATTGTTTATACATATTGCCCCATAAAAGGTCTGGGGACTTAAATTTACAAAACAAACCCTCAAATGAGACCAAGGGTTATAACCACATTTCACCAAAAAGAAAAAAATACAACACAAAGGAGTTCAAATAAACTTTTCATTGATTTGATGAAGGGACTGAAGCAAAGACCTCAACAGCAGCGGGCTCAACTTGGCTTGAAGGAGTGGGGATACCCATATCAATTTCAACATTTTCAGAAGCTTCGGCTACGGGAGAAGAAAAATCTTGGTTTTGCTGAGCCTTCTCAATAGTCTCTTTGATCTTGGCTAACTCAGATTCCAAGTTAAAATTCTCTTGGCTAGCTTCAACAAGGGTATCGCGGTGAGAATTCAAAAATGCCCAACTCACTTCAATGACAGATTTATCTTCAAGGATCTCGTAGTCTCTTTCCCAATCAGAAATTTCATTTTTTAACTTTTCATTTTCAGCCAAGGCTGATTCCTAAGAAGCTTGAAGAGAGGCGTGGGAATTTTCTAAAGAACAAACCTTATCAGAAGATACCCGGAGGTCTTCCTGAGTTTGGGCCAAATTTTTCACAAGTTCACCAGCATATGCTTCCTTCTCAGCCAAGAGAGCCTTTAGCTCTCTGATTTCTTCACTTGCCTTAGAAAGTTGCTCGGAAAAAGAGGTTTCAAGACGAGCCTTCTCCTTATCTGCTTGACTTGAGGAAGCCTTTTCAACTGCCAATTCTGAAGTCAAGGCCCGCACCTGCTGCTCCAAGGTACTCCTACTTTCTTCTAAGAATTCCACATCAATCTGAAGACTTTCATACTGTTCCTTCCAATTATACGCCTCCAATTGATAATCGCGCACTAATTGGTCTGAGAGAGTAACCCTTCTCATCATCTCCGTGCCGATGAGGTTGGCCTAAAAAAAATAAGGGAAAGAGAAAGAAATGAGAATCCTGAAGATAGAAAAATGGCAAAGTAAAAGTTTGAAGAAAGGAATACCTTCAAAGAAGCATCCACTATGTCATTCATCAAGGTCAAAGAACTATGGTTGTTTAGCTTAGTTCTCTCAATAGGACCAATTAAAGGCTTTAGCCACACATCAGCTTGACCTGATTTCCTTAAAAGGTTACCCTCAGCGGGGACTTCAATAGGAACTTGCCTCATAGCACCACTCCTACTTGAGGAACCAACCTCAGTACGATAAACGGGTGGAGGGAGAATTGTTGAAGAAGGAACAGTAGGAGCGGTAAAAATAGCCTGGGGAGGAACGGAAACAGCCACGATTGGTAATGAAGGAGTCACATGAATGGGAGTAGAAAAAGAAGCCAGGGGTGCTTCATCAGAAATTGGACCTAAACTTTTACTACCAAACTCGCGATCAAAACGCTACTCAACAAAATCATGAGCAGCAGTGGGAACATCATCAACATCATCAGGGATCAATATCGGGGCTTCAGCAAACTTGGTAAGAGGAATAGAACGGCGGGGGGATGCTTCTGCTTTATCATCGGAAATAATACGTCTACGAGCCCGTGGCCTTGTTATCAAGGAACCCCCGTCTTCATCTTTTTCGGAGTCTTCGTCATCAACGGCTTTTCTTTTCGATAAAGAGCCCAAAATTATTTCTTTGGCCCTTTCCAAAGAAATATGAGAAGCCGCGACCGTCTCGGCACTAATTCCTCGAATTGCAAATTCTGATAGAAAGAAGGATTAAAATCAGTTCAGGAAAAAGACACTGAGGAGTTAAATAAAAACTCTTAGTAAAAGAATTTTTCCTTACCATGAGTTTTTACTTTCCAACCAAAGCGGTGAGAAAGATTTTTCCAAGATCTACCCTCCACTGGGGCTATATTCAGCAACTTTCCTACCCAATCGCGGAAATTAGAAATTTCTTCAACAATTCCCATGGTTGCTGGAAAAGAAAAGCAAAATTAGAATAATAATCTTCAAAACTGAGGAAAAAGGTACGAGACAGTTACTGAAAAGACGACTCACGTGCAAAATTCCACTTCTCAGGGAAGGGAATGTTCTCACCACCCACTAAACCAACAGTGGGGACAGCAACAAACCTGGCATACCAGCCACGGTCTTTGTCATCTTCGGGGCTAACCAGAACTCTTTTACTCCTTGCTACTAGTGTAAAAACACCATTGCGAAAGAGCCTGGGGGAGTAAAGATGAATCAGATGGGAGAAAGTAAAAGGCACACTGGCCATATTGCTCAAATGACTCAAACAGGCAACAACCCTCCATACTATTGGGTCAATTTGACTTAAGCAAACATCAAAGAAACGATAAAACTCGAGAATAACAGGATCAATAGCAGGTTTGAATCCTAATGTGAAAGGGTACGTATAGATAAAGGAAAATCCGGTTAAGTAGGAGGTGATTCTTTGATTTGGATTTGGAATAATGATAGGAAAGTCATGACTCCAATGACAGTCATTACGAACTAGAGAAATTAGACCTTCTGTGATATGAGTTGGATAGATATCAGCACGATCTAAAGAGGACACTTGATTTCTCAAGGACTCCCTATCATTATAGAAAGATAGTTCAGCAGGAACTATTTCATCCACTGTGGGTTCACGAACAGGCTCAGAGGGTTCTTTTCCTTTAGAAGAACATTTTTGAGAAAAAGAACCTCTAGTTCTAAAAGCAGGACTGGAACCAGACGAAGGAAGAGAAGAACCACGTAGAGATGAAGATCCTAAATTACGAAGTCTACCCCCTTTTCTACTCCTACTGGGGGCATTAGGGAAGCTATTAACTATGGGGACCCTTTTTGGGTTAGAGTTTGATGAAAACATGATAGTACGAGGAAGAAGCAAACAAAGATTCGAGAATTGGATACTCAGAGAACTTTATGTGGTAAAGACAAAGAAGAAAACTATATTTATATTGAGAAGCAACCATCAAAGGAAAAGGTACAATGATGGAAAGGTCATAATGAGAACTGACGCTTCGTGATTAGTGAAGCTTTGGAAAAAAGCCCTAAAAAGTGCTGCAAAGTTGCAGAACCAGTGAAAGGGTGCCACATGTGAAGAACATTAAATGGAAGTGACAATTGAAGCGTCGATTCTGTCATAGCATTAATGGTGACAAAAATTCCCGCTTTAATGAATTCCACTTCCCAAATATCTAATTGATGAATAAATGGCAAGTGGGGGGACTATCTGTATTGGAAAAAATTGAGTTTACATATTGAAATGATTGAAAGATGACATGTCATGACATGGAGGTTGGTCAAAGGATGATGATTAGTAAAGAAGCACAAGTTGCAACAGATACGAGCAGAGGCACATGAAGAGGCACGAGCGATTATTCAGAAGACTCAACGCTTATACCTATTTAATCCAAAAAATCAAGGAGAATGAATTTGACAGCACAAGAGAGTACAGATACAGTATTTAATAAGCATTAAATACTAAAAACGTTAGGGAATCTGTATTGAATCACAATGATTATGTAACGTAGCATTTAATGCCTTTAATTGTCTATAATGGCATTATTATGACAAAGGCATAACGTATAACTTGGAGATAGCTATAAAAGGAAGAGAATGGATCATTTATAAAGACACGAAATACTATCTGAATATATTGGTTTACTTTGTATTCTTCTGATTATCTTATTGTTGGCAAAATCACTTTCCTTTATTCATTTTTTGAATATCAGTAACCCGAGTTCTTCTAAATTAAGGCTTTAACCGAAATTTCACTTTTTGGTTAAACAGTTAGCCCTTATGAGCAGTTGCTTGAGCTTATTGCCCCTCAAATTAAGGCTCATGATCTCATTAGAACCACCAACCAATTCTTTCCCAATGAACACTGCTGGCACACTACGCTTACACCCTAATGCAACCAATGCTTTCTCCATTTCCCTCCCATTCGGAAGTTCGTCAAGCTCATAAACTGTAGGGTTTGCACCAAAACTACGAATTAGGGTTTCGATGCTGTGAGAGATGCAACAATTACTCTTGCTGAAAATCACCACTGGACTTTCTGCTCCCAACTTCATCACTCTTTCCATATCCAATGTTCAAAAAGATGACTTAGTTAATGGTTTGCTAGTGTTTTCTTGATGATTATTTGAAGTGAAAGAAGGATTTGTTTCTTTTGTATCTCGAAATGTAACTATGGATCTTGTAAAAAGGAGATTGTTGTGAGAAATCTGAATATGAATGAAGCTATATATAAGGGGGCTAAAGGTGGATAGTGACAATATTCTTTTGTATATCAAAAGACAAGTTGGTAAATATCCAAAGGCATTTTGGATCATGAGACCATAAAGGCAGGATTTGGCTTATCTACCTGGAATCTCAAGCAACACAATCTACACAACGTAACATGGGAATCAAGCAGAAAAAGGAAGTCGGAAATGTTATTCCCCATTAATTATTTGTTATTGACAAAATGGATTCATTGTTTTTTTAGTTAAGTACTAATAGAATAGTATTCCAATATTTAAATAATTAATAAATAATATGGCGTATTTCCTTGGGTAGGAGACAATGGTCAAAAGTAAAATGTAAAATTTTAGAAAGAATTATAAATAAATAAATAAATAATAAACTTTAATAGTTACAAGACTTAAATTCTAAACATTATCTAGATTACCAGAAATGCGTCAACATCACAACGTTAAACGAGTCTCTCAATAAAACTTTAATAGTTAGAATTTTTTTTTTTAACAAAAACCTCCTTTAGCCAATCCCAATATTTTCCCTTTGCAAAATAGATCTTTGTAGTAGCATATGCAAATAAAGAATAAGCAGTGAATCCAGCTAAGTAAGAGATATTCGCATCCATCTTCTTGATGTGGGAAAATGAAAACCTCAGAAGATATGTTATGAACATGCTGTTCAAATGATGTCCACATTACTATCAGTACGGTACAGAGGAAGATAATAGAGGAAGAATAAGAGAAAAAGGAAGGAATTTGCAAATTCTCCTATTCGACTAACTCAAAATCAAATTCCTTTTAGATATTCCAAACAGCTATGATCAGCAAAAAGGGGTACAGCTTTTTATACTTATCATTCAACTGATTCTCGTCACTAAGAAAAAATGGCTCAAGGGAGAGATCAAAAGGGTCGTTCGTATCTCGAAGGGCCACTTATTGTCACGACCCAGATTTTCCACTCTCGGAAGTCGTGATGGCGCCTACTAATGAGAGCTAGGCAAGTCATTCCATTAAATTAATTACTCCATTATTCAATTAATTCTTTTTAACAGACATAAAGCGATAACGTATAAACAGCAGAATATTTAATTAAGCGAAAGAAAAACAATAAAATATCTGAATCTGTAGCTATTACAACTACTTAAGTCTTAATTACCCAAAACCTGGTGCCACAGTGTCAGAGACAGTCTAAGACTGTTAAATACAAGGTCCGAGAATAAAAGACACACTGTTTCTGAAGCAAAAAGATGAAACGGGAAATAAAAGATGGAGGAGACGTCAGGGCCTGCGGACGCCTGCAGGTCTACCTTGGATCTCCGCGTTGACTGAAGGTAGCCTCCAACTACGGTCTAAGAGCTGCTCCGGGATCTGCACATAGCGCAGAGTGTAATATCAGCACAACTGACCCCATGTGATGGTAAGTGCCCAGCCTAACCTCGGCGAAGTAGTGACGAGGCTAGGACCAGACTATCAAATAATGTTGTGCATTTCAAATATATATATAGCGGAAAATAAATACGGAAATAAACAAGTAAAGATGGGAGGGGAAAACATGCTTCGGGGAATAACAGGTAAAAACAGAATATCAAGAGAACTATAAAGGAATCAAAATCCAACCACTAATAAGAATAGGGAAAACAAAGGCAGATTTCACTTTCTTTTCACATCTTGTTGCAGGCGTGCAACCCGATCTCATTTCCTGTTCTCGTGGCAGGCGTTCCACCCGCTCTCATTTAATTATATCTCGTGGCAAACGTGCCACCCGCTCCCATTTCATTATATCTCGTGGCAGGCATGCCACCCGCTCCCATTTCATTTATCTCGTGGTAGGCATACCACCCACTCCCATTTCATTATATCTTGTGGTAGGCGTACCACCCGCTCCCATTTTATTATATCTTGTGGTAAGCGTACCACCCGCTCCCATTTCATTATATCTCGTGGCAGGCATGCCACCCGCTCCCATTTCATTTATCTCGTGGTAGGCATACCACCCACTCCCATTTCATTATATCTTGTGGTAGGCGTACCACCCGCTCCCATTTTATTATATCTTGTGGTAAGCGTACCACCCGCTCCCATTTCATTATATCTCGTGGCAGGCATGCCACCCGCTCCCATTTCATTTATCTCGTGGTAGGCATACCACCCACTCCCATTTCATTATATCTTGTGGTAGGCGTACCACCCGCTCCCATTTTATTATATCTTGTGGTAAGCGTACCACCCGCTCCCATTTCATTATATCTTGTAGTAGGCATACCACCCGCTCCCATTTACAAGCCAACAATAATGACAAGGAATCCCGACAAGTGAACAAGAGCAATATAACAACATCCCGGCAAGGGAACAATGATATTTCAATAACATCCCGGCAAGGGAACAATAATATCAAAACAAACATCCCGGAAAGGGATCATTAATATCAAACAAACATCCTGGCAAGGGAACAATGGTGATAATGACATATGAAGCGCAATAAACCACAACGGAGTCATAACAATTATAATACAAGACTCACGGGCATGCTTGACACCAACGTATAGATACTCGTCACCATGCCTATACGTCGTACTCCACAATTAACATGTAGCAAATAAGACACAACTCTTAATCCCTCAAGATAAGGTTAGGCCAAACACTTACCTCGATACCACGAACACAATTCACGATTCAACTATAGCTTTACCCGTTAATTCCACCACTAATTCGCTCGTATCTAGTCACAAATTACTTAATTACATCAATAAATGCTAAATGAATCAACCCCAATGCATGAAAATGAGTTTTTCTAAAGTTTTGCCCAAAAAGTCAAAAATCGCCCCGGGCCCACATGGTCAAAACCCGAGGTTCGAACTAAAATCCAATTACCCATTCCCCACGAACCCAAAAATATAATTTGTTTTCAAATCGGACCTCAAATCGAGGTCCAAATCCCCAATTTTTAAAAAACCTAGGTTTTGCCCAAAACACCCAATTTCTCCCATGAAAATCATTGATTTTGAGTTGAAATCATGTTAAAAGCTGTTAATGATTGAAGGAAATGAGTTAAAATTAACTTACAATCGATTTGGAAGAAGAGTTGTTCTTGGAAAATCGCCCAAAGGAGTTTGTGTTTTGAAAAGATGTGAAAAATGAGTTTTAAATCGTCTAAGTATAAAAGTTGCCGGTCTCAGATGTGGGAATTACGAATAGGGTTCGCAATTGTGAACCCCGACCTCTGCTAGCTTGGGAATTGTGAAATAGGGCTCGCATTTGCGAACCCTTCAGGGAAAGATGGACTTTCGCATTTGCGATCAACATGTCGTATTTGCGACTTGGGAATTGCGACCACAACATCGCATTTGCGATCATCGACCAAATGGGAAACTTCGCAATTGCGAAGATAATCTCGCACTTGCGAGAGGGAGATGGCCTGGGCTTTCTTCGCAATTGCGACAAGCCGCTCGCATTTGCGATATCGCATTTGCGAGCCAGGCTTCACAAATGCGAAGCTTGCAGGCCTGCTATGCACAGCCGAAAACCAAAATTCGGGCCCGATACCAACACGTTCTAATCAAAATTCATTTCCAAATCCTCTAAATAATTTCAGAAAATAATTTTCTTTAAAAATTCATTTCTCAGGCCTGGGACCTCGGAATTCGATTCCGGGCACACGCCCAAGTCCCATATTTTCCTACGGACCCTCTGGGACCGTCAAATTACAGGTCCGGGTCCGTTTACCCAAAAGGTTGACCAAAGTAAATTAATTAATTTTATAGTTAAAATTTATCATTTTTCACATATTTTCACATATAGGCTTTCCGTCTACGCGCCCGGACTGCGCACGCAAATTGAGGTGTGCTAAAAGAGGTTTTAAGGCCTCAAAACGTGGAATTTCATTTTTAAACAAGTTCGTTCGTCCTCGAATGGACAGAAGAAGGAAGTACCTGAGTCGTGGAAAATNCGACACTCGAAGCAATACCCGCTCACCGACCATGAATTCCAAATCACGAACCTTGCGGTCGGCATAACTCTTTTGCCTGGACTGAGCTGTACGAAGTCTATCCTGAATGACCCTGACCTTGTCCAAGGCATCCTGAACCATATCCGTACCCAATAACCGAGCCTCTCCCATCTCAAACCATCCAATCGGGGATCGACACCGCCTACCATATAAAGCCTCATAAGGAGCCATCTGAATACTCGACCGGTAGCTGTTGTTGTAGGCAAACTCTACTAAAGGCAAAAACTGATCTCACGAGCCTCCAAAGTCAATGACACAAGCTTAGAGCATATCTTCCAAAATTTGAATAGTTCGCTCGGACTGCCCGTCCGTCTAAGGATGAAATGTTGTGCTCAACTCAACCCGTGTGCCCAACTCTCGCTGAACTGCCCTCCAGAAATGCAAGGTAAACTGTGTACCTCGGTCCAAAATAATAGACTCGGGCACACCATAAAGATGAACAATCTCCCGGATATAGATCTCAGCTAACCTCTCGGAAGAATAAGAGACTACCACATGAATGAAATGCGCTGACTTGGTCAGCCTATCAATAATGACCCATACTGCGTCGAACTTCCTCCGAGTCTGCGGGAGTCTGACAATGAAATCCATAGTGATCCGCTCCCACTACCACTCGGGAAGCTCAATCCTCTGAAATAAACTACCAGGCCTCTGATGCTCGTACTTAACCTGCTGACAATTCAAACACTGAGCCACATATGCAACGATATC